CGATAAAAATAAGATTTATATCGTAGCCTTTCCCCTGTCTTTCCCCTCGTCTCTCTAACTACTGATTGGCGAAATGAACCGAAATTGACGGTAACTGAAAAGACTACCACACGTCATCACATACACCCCCCCACACACACACACGCACTCACTCACTCACTCACTCAGTCACGCACGCACGCACGCACGCACGCACGCACGCACGCACGCACGCACTCACTCACTCACTCACTCACTCACCCACCCACTCACTCACTCACTCACTCACTCACTCACTCTCTCACTCTCTCACTCACTCACTCACTCACTCACTCACTCACTCACTCACTCACTCACTCACTCACTCACCTACCCACCCACTCACTCACCCACCCACCCACAGTCACACATAGGAAAAGAAACTAACGTTACAACGAGAAAAAAAACATGAACTTAAAAAAAATTATTGTTCACTTAATTACGAATGTAAAGACTACCATACCGTACCATGTGATGTAGGGCAATATCATTTCATTTACCCAGATCATTAAAAAAAATCGATGCCACCAGACATAATTGGATTGCGAATCTTCGAAAAAATGCAGTTTCTAAAAAAAGCCATGTTGAAAATAAACTAAGTAGCACTATTTAACCTCCCCTTTTGGGTTATTTATCACCACCATCCCTCAAAATGGCGGTCCACGTCTGACTCGTTCATTTCGTTCGAACTCCTCAATTTTCCTTGACATAAATAGGCATTATCTCTTGATCATTCTCTTGGGAAAAGCCGTTTTTTTCACAGACACTATTATTATTTTGTCGATATGAGATACCTAAGGTTACGACAGAGAAGATTCTAGCACAGTTTGTGGGGGAAAAATGTCGGCGTCTAAATGTTTACAGGTCCTGTAAATTGTTTACTCGAGAAAAGAAAATCGTGATGTAACATACCAACGCTGTCAAAAAAGGCACTTCTTTCACTGTTTTTTTTTTTTTTTTTTTTTTTTTGTGCTTATTTCTGGAGGAACATCCACTCAGATATGTACATATGTAAGACAGACAAGGGGGGAAGAATAAACGATAGAAATAAAAGATTAAGCATGCATTAAAACGTTTAGATTTAAAGCTTGTTTACACATAGGATTATCACGAAAACTGTTATTGAGGATTTAAGTATAGAAATCGCATAGAATTGAATTTATTAGTACCACGGTTTTGCCATGAACCATAAAGCGAAAAACAACCATGTTCATTATCAGTGGTTCATTATGATGAGCGTTTTGTAAATGGCGGAAACAGGGGGAGCATTATTTCTCGAGTACAATTGAGCATGCTTAGGTAAAGATGGTGGCTGGGTGGTACTGCACAGCACACGGGTATTACTAGACACCGTAGCAGGCTTCAAGGAAAAAGTGAATATATAAGAGAACGCTTTGTGTGTTTCCAGTGTGTATATATCCACCGTTCTCCAATAAAGTTAAATTTCAAGGTAGAATCAATAAAGCTTCCTTTCAGTCACGTCCACAGTGCCATGCAATCCTCCGATGATAAGAAGCTAAAAAAAAAAAAATCTGAAGATAAATTAACAAGAGTTCAAGAGACACTGCCACAGATTTTGGGAAGAAAATGTGAAAGTGAAAGAAAGATGCGAAATATTGTTAATATATAGGCCCATGTATGTGTTTATATTTACGTATGTATATATACATGTCTATATGTGTATTTATATATATATATATATGCATATATATATATATATATAATATATATATATATATAATATATATATATATATATTATGTATGTATGTATATTGATACGCGTTATTTAGCCGCTTCAGCCATTCAGTCATCCATCACAGGCAGATGAAAATGCTTGAATGATTTTGTGGACGTTTCTAACAGTATGTTTATCTTTATAAGCTTAGGGAATGAGACTGACATCCGAGTATGAATGTGGCTGACAAAGAGCGACAAAGAGGAACCTAGTCTTCCAGAAACATGAATTAATTTTAGTGTGGAAAATAATTAGGCAAGGGAAGTTACTGAATAATTTATCATAATTTTGTACCAGCTTCCCTGCGTCACTAGATGAACAAACACACACAGACACACACACACACACACAAAACACACACACACACACACACACACACACACACCACACACACACACACACACACACACACACACACACACACACACACACACACACCACACACACACACACACACACAAGCACAACACACCACAGACTGGCTGAAAGCTGATTCATGTACCAAGCTTAATGCATAAATGTTGACTCCTTCAAAAATAATATTTGAAAACCCCAATTACCTGTGCAAATTAAATAAACGAAAAGGAAAGTAACCCATAAAAGACATAAAAGCAGCTATCTAGTTCTCAACATCTATTACCATTTTCTCTCAGTCTCATTGTGCAAGGTTTGGTTATTATGCATGCACTTCCAACCCCAGTTCTTTCACAAATATTATGTCGGTTTACCTTCCTAGTAAATGACTTTGTGGGTCTATATACTAGATAGATTAATAAAGAAATAAATAAAATTACTTAAAATCATAAAATTACTGAGATTTGTTTCTCTTAGAATAGGCTATCTAAAAATCCTGAAATTTTGATGGCCAGAGTTGAAGCAACGAACTTAATATTAATTGCACATTATAAATGTTTAATGCGAGAAACACTGGCATGCAAGTTACATAATCCAAGCGTAATAACACGTAATTATTAAAACAGAGAGGGGCATTCATTTATGTGGACATTGGTAAACAAAGAGCAACTGGTACGCTGGGGTACGGTATTCTTACATTGGTACCCTAAGCGCGTGCCAATATTACCCAATCTTTAATCTTGGCCTGTTGTACGGCAGTCCTTCACAGATCTGTTATATTATATATACTTATAATTTGACAATTTTTTTTTTATCAAAATACAACATTTGATACGAGAAATCTGTAAAAAGAAAAAAAAAAAGAAAAAAAGGAAGCTTTGAGGCCCTGTGACATAAAGTGGCTGTTGAAGCTGGACATTCGATGGAAAGGAAACGCTTGCGCCATGACTAAGATCTACAGGCGGTACGAACATACAAATCACACATGCACTTCGCTAGCAGTATCGTCAGTCGTTTTAGAGATAGGTCTTCATATAATAATATATATAATATATATATAATATATATATATATATATATAATATATATATATATATATCAGCGTGTGTGTCTGTGTGTATTATATATCTATTTGATATATGCTGATTATATATATATATATATATATATATATATATATAATATACATACTATACAATACATACGTGTGTGTGTGTATATATATATCTATTTGATATATGTACCAGAAACTTATATATATATATATATATAATTATATATATTATATATATATATAATAATATATATATATATAATATATATATATATGTATATAATACACGTCTGCGTGTGTGTGTATTATATATGCATGTATATTATATATGCATGTATATTATATATACATATATATATGTATATATATAAATATATACATATATGAAGTTGTGCATGTGAATATGTGTTGTGTGTGTTTGTATAATGCGGTAATGAATTGCGTAGAGACCATTATTGTAAATTCGTTCTGATTACGCCCAACCACTGAGGCGAAACCTAAGCCGAAGTGTATCCGAAGTAGGTTAGGGCGTTCGAACACCAGCTTCGACCCGTTTTGCAATTACCAAATTGCACAAAATCATTTAATTTACTTTGGTCATGCTATCTTGAAACTCTCGAAATTTTAATAACCCACCATGGCAGATAAACCTTTGTTGTTGCTGAAAAAGTAGAATACTATTAAGTGTAAAATGTAGTGTATGTAGCAATAACCATGAAAAATCTCTATTCTTTATTTTCTTTAATGGTCTATGAAAAGCTGATCCACAAACAAATATTTAAGTATTCATGTTTGTGTATCACATAAATATTACTTTAAGTATAGTTTCTATAATTTGGAGAATGTTCGCAAATACCAAGCATTTTGATACCATTACCGTCATCTGTCAAACACATCTATTCACAGGACGAGAATGAAGACCCAGCCAAGCAAGCGCGTGGCTTTCTCGCCACTGCCAGACGAAGACAAGGACGCAGACGAACAAACCGTCGCGGAAAAGGACGCCGACGGCCTTGTATCGGAAAGACCACCGAGCATCTGCAAGTTCACGTGGTGGAATGAATAAGGTTGGAGGGGATATGGTAACCGTTTTCTATATGCGCTGGTTTCCGTGGATGTGGTATATCCCATTTTCTTTGGATGTGACATATCCCATTTTCTTTGACTGTGGCGATATAGCACACTGTTTCCCATATGCTTAGATGAGCCGCATCCCATTTTCTGTGTACGCGAGGATGCGAACGGGACCCTTCGATTTTCTGTGAATTTGACGATGTTGGAGGGTTTTTGTGTGGGAGTGACATGCGTGTTAGTAACTGACTTTGTAATTGGCGAATGTCGTGTGGTTAATTTGATAATGCATCTCTTGGAAGGGGGATGTAATACGTTGTCACGGCATTTCTTTGGCGACATTTTAATGAACAAAACACTCGATCATGTATATTATACATTCGTATGTAACATACAGGATGTGCATTTGCGCACACATTGATATATATATTACTTAAATATATACATGCACTATCACACTCACTGACTCATCCACTGGCTGGCAAGCACACACACACACACACACACACACACACACACACACACACACACACAACACACACACACACCACACACACACACAACACACTACACATACACATACATACACATACATATATGCATACATGTAATACGCACACAAACGCGCGCGCGAACCTAGTATATTTGTTTACACATACATACACAAAATACATGTTATTGCCAATGTGAAACAATACAAGCTCCGAGTATATTGCAGGACTTGCAAACAAGGACAAGTAAAATGTCAGTGTTTTGTACGCATTACCTGGAAATACTCGAGCCATAATGTTGCAGCGAATCTTTATGACGCCTGCCTCATTTTTATGGACATTAAGCCGTTGACTCACCGCGCCCCACCTCCACCTGTATCGATGCAACAGCAATTGCAAAGCCATCGGTGATTGTGCATCCACTATCCCCCACATCCTTTCTTCTTATTCATAACCTGTTTCGAAATCCAATTCACGTCGTTTGGGACAAAACTTTCATCTGACTGTATTAGAAGTCGTATTGCTCTTTGCGGAACTCTGATATTTGTTTTCTTCCCGTCAAGACCAATACTTCAAGGGATTACGCAACCTTCCCTCGCCCGATCCGGATAATCCAGCCCCCCTCATGGTTGAGCCGCCCACCTTACACGCAAGCAAACGCCCTTCCTCGGCGGCCGCAAGCCACGCACTAGCGCCCGCATTTCCGTTGTTTCCGCCCTAAAATAACATAACGGTGAGGCAGACCGCGAACTGTCGGAGCGCTGTCCCCGGCCGCGTTGCGTCATCGCCGCTCGGGCACGTCGCTTATGGAATGGCGTGCTGTTTCGAGGAGCGTTCGTGTATTTTTGGGAAGGTCTGCGTTGTCCTGGGGTCTGGGACTTGGCTGACAGCGGTCCGAGCTGACGGGACCTAGTTGGAATCAAGTGTAAATAAATGTAATGCTAACAATGTGATGAATGCGGGCATTGGATACGCGATCGCTCGCCGCGCGTTTAACCTTACAAAGTGAATGCACAATGCGACAGATGGCATTGATGAGTCTAAAGATTGGAATTTTCATTCTTGATTATTAAATCAATTATATATTTCACTTGTCCACAAAAAACGCAGCTGCTGGCTACTCTGCATGTTTGACCACCAAACTGTGAGGTGGAGCAGCCTCAAGGTTAGGTGTTAAAATTAACCCGTTGTGCCGGTGGCAGGGGGAGGGAGGGTGGGCCTCCCCTCCCGCCCCCTCGTGAGTCCTGCAGTCAGTCAGCAAGACGGGCCCAAACACGGAGGGTCCCTTGCTCTCCACCTGCCAAGGCGGTAGGAAAAGCCATCCCACGTGGAACGCAGACACGCCGCTCTGCCCTCGACCCCTGCGAGACAACGCCCCCTGCCTGGTTCGCCGAACACGGCTCACGCTATTGTGTACGGCCGAGTCTAGTGCTGAGTCACCGTTGGCGAAGGCACACGAAACACCTGCTGGTTTTCAGCTGGTGTAGAGGACTGTCGTGAGCGCGGACACGCACAACTTTCACTGAAGTGCGAGCTACGAGTGTTCTAGAGAGTCGCGCCGTGGAAGCCAGCCCGGATGCAGCGAGACCGGAGGTTGGTGTGGTACCGACAGATTTCCTGTAACTGATAATGGTACAGCACCCTGTTTCAAGCATGCCATTCGGAGCGGCGCGCGTGCAAAGTGACATGTTGACCTTACGGAGAACGTTGATACAAGACGAGTTTTTAAAGCACCGGCGTTTTTACTCATCCGCAACTCGTGCAGTAAGCGAGTGTGTGTGCAGTGGCGATATGAAGATTATGAATGATGAAATGAAGAATTCGTGAACTGGCTCGCTATCGAAAATCTAAAAGGTCGAGATTAACCTTATCTTATCAGATATGTAGAGGAACTACTATAAACCTATATGAAAGTGCACAAACACCTATAGTTATAAAGAACGAGTAATTTTCAGTGTTGACAAAATTAACAAAAAACAAGGCGACCCGTTACATTAGTGGAAATCCCTGTTCAGAGGCGTGAAGGACTCGCCAGTGGAGGATTTTTTTCCCAGTGACTTTACATCCCTAGTGAGGAATGTATGGGCGGCGTTGGGTCCTCTCTAGATCCCTGCTGGTGTGAGGATGATTATTCCAATACAGTCTGGAAGTGCTCATGACAACTATGGAAAATAACTCTGTGTCTTCACTGTCGTACCTTGTCAACGTGAGGCAAGGGCGACCCAAATTCACCATCAGAAATGAGGTAAGTGCGACTCGACGGACCCGGACCTCAGGAGGAAAATAAGTGAGGAGGGGAGTCATACAAGAACTTAAGTCAAAACAAGAAACGTTGCTCAACTCAATAGATTAAATACCTTACGACGCAATCGAATACTAAATAGATACAAATACCTTGCAATGCAAACAAGTTCTAAATAAATCAAACAAACAGAAACAGCACTTAACAGAAAGGATACGGTAATAACATTATCCAGAAACGTATAAAATATCAAATGTGTGGAGAAACTACTCAATAGCATCCAGGAGAGAGTGAGGTAGTACGAGGTTCGAAAGTTACGGCAGGTGTTGGCCGAGCCTGAGGGCGAGGTGGTCAAACCGATACCAATCGAGGCTTCATTAAATTCGCTGACTTTCACAGTGCTCGATTCAGAGATTGGATCCTTGGATAGGAACAGTGAGATTTAGTCATTGTAGATTATAAGCGAAGATGATGATACGGAGTTTTTGCGTTAGAGAAAAAGTAACGTTTTGGTTAAAGTGGAAGGGAGTGGATAGAAATTTTAAAATACGTTAGTTGCATTGACACTGCTGCATTTTCCTTCGTTTTTATTGCAGTTCTATATCAGTGTTATTGTAGTTAATTAGGGACTTATCATGTTCGATTTACATTATATATTGATATAGATATTACCAAGCAGATGGAGTCGCAAATATCTTTACATATATATCCATCTATCTTCGTCTGTCCAACCATATGCTTGCATATGTATATACTTACATATAATTGTGTGTTTGCGCTTTGTGTGCGAGAGAGAGGGAGAGGAGGAGGGAGGGAGGGAGGGAGAGAGGGAGAGAGGGAGGGAGAGGAGAGAGGAGAGGAGAGGGAGAGGGAGAGGGAGAGAGGGAGGGAGAGAGGAGGGAGAGGGGAGAGAGAGAGGGAGGGAGGGAGGGAGAGGAGAGGAGAGAGAGGGAGAGAGAGAGGGAGGGAGGGAGGGAGGGAGGGAGAGAGAGAGAGAGAGAGAGAGAGAAAGAAAAGAAAGAGAGAAAGAAAGAAGAGAAAGAAAGAAAGAAAGATAGAAAGAAAGAAAAAGAAAAAGAAAAAGAAAAGAAAAAGAAAAAGAAACAGAATTTACTAACAGCAGTGACCATGAACTTCGAGTGAGAGAACAGGACCCCAAATAAGGGGAAAGAAAGAAAGAAAGATAGAAAGAAAGAAAAAGAAAAAGAAAAAGAAAAAGAAACAGAATTTACTAACAGCAGTGACCATGAACTTCGAGTGAGAGAACAGGACCCCAAATAAGGGATAAAAACAAATCGGGACGTGTCGAGGACTCGCCGATTGAGGATATATTGAATTTAATGTCTGACCCTTGCCGTGTGGTGTCAGGTCGTTGAGCAGAAAGTGTAGCCAGGGTGTCTGTCCTCGTCGTTAGGTCCTGGTGCAAGGACGTGCTGTAGGAGTGTGTGTGTTTTGCCTTCAACTCTTTTAGGCTGATTTCCTGGTAGTATTTGATGTCTGTCTGTATGTATAGGTGGATAGATTTTTATGTATGTATATGTATCTATGTGTATGTATGGGTGGATAGATTTATGCATGTATGTGTGTGTATCTATATGTATATGTATGTATGTATAGGTGGATAGATCTATATATGTATGTGTATGTATGTATGTATGTATGTATGTGTATCTATATGTGTATGTATGTATGTGTATCTATATGTGTATATATGTATGTATGGTTGTTTATGTATGTATATATCTATGAATTTTTGGGTATGTATGTTTCTATCTGTATATTTATGCAGGTACGTCTGCTTCTATGTATGTTTGTATGTATTCATGTATTTGTAAATGTTTATATATGTATTTATGCATCTATGTATGTGAAGGTATGTATTTATGTACATGTATACAAGTATCTGTCTGTGTCTATGTATGTATGTGTATATCTATGTATGTTTATGCATGTATGTATGTATGTATATATCTATCTATGTATGTGCATCCATTTATTATATGTATGTATCTATTTATTTATGTATGTCTATGTATGTATCTGTGTATGTGTAAGTACGTATCTATCTGTGAATGAGTATGTACGTATCTATGTATTTATCTATCTGTGTATGTTTATGTATCTATCTACTCATCTGCATATGTGTATGTATCTACCCATCAGTGTATGTGTATGCATTTACCCATCAGTGTATGTGTATGCATTATCCATCAGTGTATGTGTATGTATGTATCTATCTATTTATGTGTATGTATCTATCTGCTTATGAATGTATAAATCTTTCTTTGTCCTCTTCCGCTTCTTTCTCCGACAGTTTTGCAGACAGTGCCATCTATCGCCGGACAACTTTTTCTAATAATGCACTTTCCCTTTTATGTAATGCTGTTTATCGGTTTGGTGATAGATGGTGTTATTAGCTTTTATATGTTTACTTTAACGATTCATCTTTGTTCTTAATAGTTCTTATATTGTGATAAGATAGTTTGAATGCATTTTTATGGGATTTTCCTGTTGCCTAAAACATGCTCTAATGATTCCTCTTGGTGGATAGACATTGCTATCATGATTTTCGTAGTGGCTAGAATATGTTTTAGTGATTCCTCTTGGTGGATAGAAATTCCATTAATGATGCTCGTTGGTGGATAGAAATTCGGTCAGTTTTTAGCGACTGTCGATAAAGTCGGTTCCTGAGAAAGCGACCTAATTTCGGAGATGATTTTCACTTTTTTTTTCCCGCGTCAAGTTTAGTTTCTCAAAAACATTCATTTCCGAGCATTATTTTTGGCAAGTTGTATCTGAGGAAATGGATTATTGGATTATTTTTTATCTTTAAATTCCATGTTATTTATGAATCTTGTATAGATTAATGATTTCACTGATGAACTTTTCCCTCCACACTTGGATATGCCTCCCGGAAGAGAGAAAAAATCCCTATTGCATCAACGTACAGCTTTCCGACTTTCAAAAAGGCCTCAAAACCAGATCTATAAGTTATCATAAATCATCCCCACAACTCCAGATCTGCTCGGCAAAGTCCCCCATCAGGCCCACTTTACAGTGTTAGCGCTTAAGTAACCAGAGTAAAGCTACGGCCGACGTAACGGACACTGGAAGGCCATTGTGGTTGGGATGGCTTCGCAGGGAGGAATTTCCTTGTGCGAGCGTCCTTCGTGCTACGAGCGGGGAACAAAGGCGTCCGTCTGTCTTTGAGATAGACGGACAGAAAGATGAATGATTAATTGTATATATATACATAATGTGTATGTATGTGTGTGCGTGTATATATATATATATAATATAATATATATATATAATATAATATATATATATACATATATATATATACTATAATATATATTATATATAACACACATATATATACATATATATACATATATATACATATATAAGCATATATATATATACTATATATATATAATATATATATATATATATATATATTATATATGTATATATATATATTGTATATATATACGCACACACGCACGCACGCACGCACATACACACACCAACACACACACACACACACACACACCACACACACACACGCACGCACGCAACGCACGCACGCACGCACCACACACACACACAACACACACAGCACACACACACACACACACACAC